GTTGGGGCTGCGGGGGCCAGCCTTCCTCCCGCTGCACTCCCCCTCCTCCTCCCCTATCCCAGCCTGTCATCAATCTTACTAAAATGACAGCAGACAGATGTTAGCCTTTGCAAAGATCAGATGAAATCTATGGCTTTAGGGCTGTTCACCAAGGAGCAGAGTAGTCTACACCAGACATGGGCACCAGCAGTCACCTCCTCTGCATCAACCCGCCTCAAATCAGTTTGGCAGCCATCACAGTCATCTCTCCTCAGGCAACCCGAGTCCTGAAATAGATTTTGACAAACTTTAATGTTTTAGCCTCTCCACAGAGTTGAGGGGTTTTTTTTGTGTTTTTTTTTATAGCAAGATTGCTCATTTGAAACTTTTTTGGGCGAGAGTTTTGAGTGTGTTTGGGGCGATGTTGGGAGGGGGCTTGTGTTTGCAGCCACGTTGACAAGCGGCTGAGGAGTGCACAGGAGTGGGAGATCATTTGGGTTTAGTACACTTGGCCCTGACACGTTCGGTAACCTGAATTCTGCTAGCAAAGGAGAGGGAAGAAGAGGGGAAAAAAAAAGGAAAAAAAAAAAAAGATTACTCCATGGCATAAATATGCTGTATGTGCCCTTGTCTCATGCAATTTCTTTACATCGATGTGCAGGAATATTTATCCCCAGTAGAAATGTTTAACTAATCTGGTAAATGTCAAGCCATATGGTGTACATTGTAAGGATTTCATCAGGCCTTTTTAACTCTTTGTGAAAGTCTCTCCCTCTCTTTCTTTATGCTTCCCCCTTCCTTTTTTTTTTCGTTTTTTTTTTTCCTTTTGTTGCTGCCCCACCAGAACCTGCAAGGAAGGAGATAGTGTGCACAGCGTTATTAACATTAGTTAGATCAGGGATGTGATGTTCACGGTTTATAATAACAAGCAATATTAGCCAGAAGTGCAACTCGTAAGGCACCTTTATGCTGGGCGAAGAGACGCTCTGAATGTAATTTTTATCAGCAGTGACCTGCAGAAGATCACTAATACTTTTTTTAAAACAAACTGTCCACCCCAACAATGCACAAAATTCCCAGGGGCTACCTCATTTCTTATCACTTCCTTTGAATAATCAAGTCTTTACAACAAATAAACTGCAGTTCTCCAGCACTTTCAAGTAAAGGAAATGTTTCTGTACTGTAACTATCTAGTGTATCTCCCAGAAAGATAGAGTGCAATTTACAATAAGCAATATCAAAAAAGAATAAACCGTTATGCTCATGCCAATCCTTATTCATGGTTTTATAACAAGACATATCTGTTTTCTTCCTATAAATCTTGACTCTATTTTTAGAGTTTGCAAATAATGACTCCAGTCTTTGGCTGCCTGCCACTTCTGTGAAAAACTAGGATACCCACAGTGCAAGACTACAATATTAAAAAAAAAAAAAGAGAGAAAAAAAAATAAAAGAAGGAGGGATCTTGCTGTACTCTGTGTATTCCCTACCAGGACAGACCATTCAAGATAGTCATAAGTGATGCAAATGTGCAGAACGTGTTAGAGCAAGCAGGAGCAGGTTGGAAATTTGGCTGAACTTCCACACCTATTTCAGAATTTTTTTACCTAAAAAAAATTGCAATGGCCCGTACTTACATGGGCCCTTTGCTGCATTGCCAGCGGGCGCTTGCACCCAGCAAGCCATGAGCAAGCCAGAACTTTTTTCTGCTGGGCACCACTGCTGCCTTTTCATCTTGGGGACCACCAATCCTGCTTTCAGCATCTGAGGGCAAAGGATTATAGAGCATTTCTCACTATAGTACAGCCCAGGAATAAAAAAAATCCAACAGGAGAAAGTACCACCTTCAGCCGTAGCCTCTGGACATTTTAGAGTGGTGGAAGGCTAGGGAGGGGGAGCTGCAGGTCAAGGAAAGGATAAGATCTGGGTGGCTGGGAATGGGGAGGGAGAAAGAGGAATGTAGCAAAGGAGGTAGAGAGGAAAAAGCAGGGAAATGACAGCATTCAGACAAATTTAGCTCTGAATCCAAACTCGGGGGGGAGGGATAGCGTTTCCTGCCCCAAACCTCTGAACTTTCTGAGATTCTCCTATATCACGAGTGATTTACCTGTAAAGAGAACTGAAAAGGGGGGGAAAAAAACGGGAGAAAATTGAAATAAACAATTCCCTGCTGTTTAAACAATCTTTCCATCCTACTCCCCCAGGGTCAAATGTTCAGGCACAAGGACACAAAGAAAAAAAAAGAAAGAAAGGGAAATCATGTTAAAAAGAGGATCTTTACATGACTGCATTAGCCCCAGTTTTCATCGATGTAACGACAGTATATCAACCCTTAACACAGAGTGCCTTCCCCACATACCTGCCAGCTCCCTAACTCCAAAATATTTATTGGTACATTATACTTAACTTTTCATCATTATTAAGGGCATTGGCAAGGGATAGTACGACAGCTACCTGTGTCGTTATCTGAGCTTTGTTATGTGCAAGCATTTGGGGGAAAAGCGAGCGAGGCAAGGCTAAGTTGTAAACACGCTGAAAAAAAGAACAAGATGACAAACATTAATAATTAATCAGAAGCACTAGTCCGAGACTTTTACTGTGAAAGCTGTGAGATGAATGTATCTATTAGCCATGTATATATATTTTTTTTTTTAAAAAAAAATTCTCACACTAATGTGTTTCTAATAACAGCATTATCTGGGTGTATAGACAGCTCATGACTGAGCAGCCTCTCAGCATTCAGGAAGTTGTTGACAAAGACTTCTGCAATAGCCTGTGTGATTTTGTGTTATTTCCTTTAATTGAACCAATAAGACCTGCACTCCTGCTCTCCTGACCTTTGCTCAGAAGGCTAATTTGAGATTAGGGTAGTCTGAAAATAAGGAATAGGGAGCGCATTTTTAAAGCACAGAAACATTTCTATAGTAATAGAAGATTGAGATAAATTTCAGTAAAAGGATCCTTTCAGCCCCAAACTGCTCTGCTTTTAAAGGGATCTTTGGAAGGACTTTGGTGAGACAATATAGTGTCTTAATTTCAGAAAAGTTAAATTCACTCAGCTTTGTGCTGAGTGTTTTAGGGCTTGTAATAAAGATGATACCCATGACTCTGAGTCCTTGGTGTCTTTGCAGTCACCCAGGAGGACATTCAGAAGTCCCTTAGGAAAACTTACACGAGAGCATAAAATATGTCATGCCAGATAAATGATTCTTTGTGGGTCTTATTCCGGTCTAGTGCTGAAGGTTGCGATACTTAAGCCATGTGAGGTAGCCAGGTAATGAATAAGATATGCTCCTTGGTGGGAGAAGGAGACCCCGGGTGATTTGGGAGAAGATAGGAGAGCAAATATTTTGGTTACGGCTGTGAACATTATGCCAATATAATAGAGAGATCCCGCTGCATGACTCTGTGCCAAAATACAGAAATACATTTCTCAAATTAAAAACGGGACCAAACTGAAGGGAGGTGGGTGTGTGTGTGTATGAGTGGTTTTAATACGTGTAGATTTACTCCATGTGTTCTTAGGCACAGTGACAAACAAATAGAGAAGCTGTCTGAGGGGCTGACTACGACCCAGGACCCAGCGTCTACTCCTGCTTCTGCTCTTGCATCTTGAGGTCTGTGGCTGCAGGAGTGCCTGGGTGCGCAGCGCCCTCAGCCTCACCAGGCTACATGTGAGCCAGCCTTGATTTAAAGGAAAAGCTGGAAAAACTGACACAGAGTTTTCTTCTTGGGCTGCCCTTTCCCCATGCACTCCATAAGGCATCAGCTTATGTTTTCTCATGCAGGGGCTGGAGGTGCAGAGGTGTGCTTTTTCACAAGGAGCAAGAGGCAGCAACGAGCTGCCGTGCTGAATCTGTACCCCCTACCACATAGCAGAGAGGGGACAGGATGAAAAGAAGGAGCTGGAGACCAGTTAACTTACCCGCACTGCTGTTCTGCAGTGCTATATACAGAAAACACCTATTCAGAGCCAGAATAATACGTTTCCCTCAGCTTCAGCATTCAAATAGAGCTGATTGTGCTGTCCTATACAAGGACATTCACCAAGTCAGGAGGAATACTTTCAGCAGCACGGCTGCAGGTAAAAGACCCAACAGTTGCTGCTGCAACGTGGATTTAAAGGCTGTTCCCTCTATTTACACATGTAGATATTGTAATGCTGCTATGCAAACAGTCCTGTGTGGACTTTCACTTGTGGATTTTATTATAACACGTTCCCGACTATGAATGGCACCTTTCTGCTGCAATACCTGCTGTTGTGCCCTTTATGCTTTACTTTCTGACTTCGCTTCTGGTTTTGTTACTTTTCTTGCTGACAGGATTTAAAAAGTAAGAAATGAACTTTCCCTTCTCTAAGTGATGCTCACGGCATGTGAGCTGCAGTTGTGTTGTATTCGCTGAACTTTGCAGCCACTGGAAACACGAACAGTATGTCAACTTGTTCCTGTCTGTGCAAGAGAATTCAAGGTCAAGCTGACCAGTGAACTCTCGTATTTAAACAGAGTAAGTCAATGCTCATCTACGGCACCGAAACTGCCTCTAGGAAAGATGTTAACCCTGTGCTGGGCCTCCAGACAGCGCAAGCCGTGTCATGGCTTTTAAAGCAGTTTGCTGCTGCTGTCAATAAGAGCTGGACATACTGCATATGTCTACTGGGCCTAAACAAGTGTCCCTTCTTTGGATGTGCGCCGTGCACAGGAGGCCCTCAAGGGGTTAATACATGCCATTCCCGAGTTCAGTGAAGGGACAGGGAGAGCCGAACAGCGGGAATTTCAGGATGTTAATAGC